CAGAGAACTGAGTCTTTTCATAATGTTTCCAAAGTATGATAATTTGAGCCTGGTCATTTGTGCATCAAGTGAGAACTCTGGGCTGATTTGTTTGATGAGTTGTTTGTTTTCTTGGCTATCCATGATATCCTCAGGAGTCTTCTCCAACACCAAAGTTCATGGTTCTCTAATGTAGCGTTTTGTAAATCCATGTTTGGTAGATTATGTATAGACACATAGATATTTCATGGAGTAAAAATGTATATATTTAGAGGAATGGGCAAGCTTCAGAAGGTTCCTCATAAGACAGTGCAAACATCTCTTTCTATTTGAGAACAAAGGAGGTGGAAAACAAAAGCTGATACAGTAGTGTACACTGATGTATCTTCTTTTTTTTCCTCCTCAAGTATTTTTTCAGTAGTCATTTAAAAATGAATAAATACTGGATTATGGGATGTGAATATTCATAGAAACTTTAAAATTAATCAAGGAAAACATGCCCTGTGACATGAAAATGGAACGTAACTTGAGAGCCGAGCCATTGTTCTGTTTGCTAATAGGCTTATCTATCATTTAGTGGTGAAGGGCCCTGGCTACAGAAGGCATTATGAATGTGCTTTTCTTCTTCCACCTTTTCCAGTGTTCACAATATCCATTATTGCTGAATCTCCGATAAGTATGCAGAATTAAAATTTGCTTTATGTTGTGATATACCTTCAGGATGTAAGAGTTGAGACTTTGGTCCGCATGTAAATTTTCCTGCTAACGCAACTCCATCTGCAACTGCGTACAGAAATGAAATGTTCTTGAATGTTTCTGTGCATAACTAATAGTGGCGCCATATTGCCCTCTGCTGGCTCCTTCTAGCTAATGCAGGCAACTAGGTTTCAGCATAATTTCTATTTTTATTTTGAGGCAAACATGCTGGGAACTACTGCAATGCAGGAATGCTAAGTCACTAAGATCATCACACCATCATTCTCAACAGATTGGGGAGCAGAAACGAATGGAGCTGTAAATACCTCTAAGCACTGTAAGCTTCTTTTATGAACTGTCAACATCCAAAATTTAATTTCACTCCAGAACAAACAGTACCTAAGTTTTGGAGAGCAGAGAACATGATCTTGAATAATCAGAGCAATGGCTTCTATGTCACAGAAATATTGAGAAATTGATAATTATCCATAATAGCTCATAACAGCATAGTTATATAAAATTCCCTTAATAGATAGATCAAAGTTCACTTGTTCCATTATCTCCATCAGTACATAAGCAGGTGTATCTGGGAAGATTACAGATGCAGAATTAAGATTATAACTATATTTTATGATTTGCTTCCTGAATTTCATATTGTTCATTGTATCCATCTGCTAATATTTGAACAGCTAACTTTAAAACTGTAGCCTTTACCCGGAAGCATACTTACTCAGAATTCTGTTCCATTCATATGTACTTAGAGGATATGGACTATCTGAACCCATTGGGAAAGTCTGGAAATCTGGACAGTCAGGTTTCATACTTGGTTTGGCACCAAAAATGCCTTGGTCCCCTGACGGCCAAGTGCAATTTAGTTTATCCTCCTGAATCTCTTGGTGGCTTTTGATGCCATCATCAGCCATGGTATGCTGAATATATTATCTGGGGATGGAGTAGAAGACATTGTCCTTCACTGGTTCTGCTCCTACCTTCCCAGTTGGCTTTGGGAGATTTCTGCTTGGCCCCATGGATGCTAGGCTGTAGAGTTCCACAGGGAATCAATCTTTCACCCTTGTTGTTTTACCGTTCACATGAAACCACTGGGTAAGATCATCAGAGTATTCAGAGCTGGATGTCTTCAGTTTGGACGACACTCAGTTCTTTTTCTCCCTTTCACAAGAATCCTGTGAAGTAGTCCAGGTATTGCATCTTGCCAAGTCCATTATAAGAAGACCCTTCAGAAGGCTATCCTTAGCTTTCAGAAGAATGAATGCCAAGAATATGGGTCAAAATTGTTTTCTGCATCAGTGTTTTTGACTGAGATTCACTCCATGGCTAACAACTGATTTTTGTAGATCTTAATTTTTGTTGTAAAATTTTTCACTTCCTGAGTTCAATTTTGTTTTGCAAAACATATCTTTCACTGTTCTGACATTTCTCCTCCCAGTACACAAGCAGTGAAACACCAATATAACTTATGGAAGAAAATGGCCAGCTGGACAATTTCATGGAAAGTAAACTTTTGTTCCAATCTAAGGTTAGTTATCTGGAGTAATCGTGTGAATGCTAATTTCATTTGAAATAATATACTGTTAAGGTGCAGGAATGAATTTGCATTGGTGTCTGTATCTGAACTGTGTGCTGATCTGCTTCACTTTAATTTAAATGCCTCTACATTTGAATTTGTATCAAACTGGATTGGAAGCCAGGAAGGGGGTCTGTAGTGATTTCATTTTGATGACCAGATGTTTCATGAAAATCTGCCAGCAGTAAGAGTATATGCTGCTGCCTTTAGTTGGCTGGGTCGCTGGAAGGATACAGTGCCTGTATGCCTGTATCTTCTTGAGCTAGTCAGGCCTTGGATCACCCTGGGATCTTTGTCCTGGGTGATTTCTGCGAAAGTTTTCATACAGGAGCAGCTTAGAATTTCATGTTCTCCCTGGTTACCATGAACCTACCTATCATCCATCCGTCCATCTGTCCATCCATCCGTCCGTCCATCCATCCATCCATCCATCCACCCACCCACCCACCATCTAGCTATCTTCTATCTATCTCTGGCTGTTCTCTCAGGTGTTTGGCCAGGATGATAGGTGAGCTAGGCTGAATTAACAAATGATTGCAGGTGTGAGTTATTTATGTGGCCTCAGTTACATTATGTTCTGTAACAATGCTGTATGTTAAATTGCCCAGATTCACAGGAGAAAGATGGGTGGGCAAATAAAATATATAAACAAAACATAGGAATCTTACAAACCTAAAACGTTTTTGAAGAGAAAGGGGAGCAGATATAAATAATAATTGGGGTTTCACACACATTGTGTCAACATTTAGTTTATATAATTTGTTATCTTTTTCCATCTCATACAAATGTTACCAAGAAATAAACTAAATGTCATCAATCTAATTCCAGTTTGGAGCCAGGATTCCTGAATTTTCCTAGAACAGATCAAAAGGAAGGATTCCAAAGACCCACCTCCAAGAGACCAATCAATTTGGCCAATGGGCTCTTTGTAGTAGTAGTAATACATTTATTTGCAACCATAGGTTTTAGCAAGATTCATGTAAAATTGCAACAATCCTTATCAGTTCAATTCGTTCCCTCTAATATTAACACTGTCAACATCTTTCATATCTTCCTTGCAGCCATTGCAAACAATGCAAGTTTTGTTACATATTCATCTATATCAGTCAATAGAAAATAGATTTCTTCTTTTGTGCTAGACTGATTCAATTGGGTTAACAAAGGCATGATGAATCTAGCACTAGGTCCCTGATATAATTTGCAATGTAATAAGTAATGGATCAGATCTTCCACTGGTGAATTATTACAAATGCATAAAAGATGTGTAGTTGGTAATCCTTTATATCTTCCATCCAAATAGGCCATTGGCATTGTCTGAAAATGAAGTTCTGTGAAAGCTTGTCTCAAGGAATGAGATGAAATGAAAATATAAAATGTATAAAAGGAAAGATAGCTGTGGGAAGAGGGATGACAAGAAGCCTTCCGCAAGTGAATACAATTAAAATGGATAAACTGATTTGGAATGAAACTGAAATGAGGGTATGCTGGAAGGAACATTTTAGAGATTTGCATGGGATACGTCAAAGAGTGGGATAGAAAGAAACACTATAAATGTTAATATTCAAGGGAAAAATGCTGAAAAGGAATTCATAAATGTTAGGATCTTGAATAATGGTAAAGCTGCAGGAGTAGATGACATAACTGGGTAAAAGTTTAAATATGGATGTGGTTTGCTTAAGGAGCAGCAATGTTACTTCTTGTGTGAAGTGCGAAGACTGCATCCATACCAGACAGTTGGAAGAATCCTCCTTTTTTCCTCCTATGCAAAGGGAAAAATAGCAAGAGTGGATGCAAAATTGTCATTTACCCTTAAAAAGTGTTGTCAGAATAAATGGAAAGAGCAAATTTGCACTGGGAAAGTGCCAGAATTTGGACTGAAAAGTTACAAGAGGCAACTATGAGTAAAATTTTGCAAATGCAGTATGACTTTTACTTGACTGGTGTGTAGACATAGGCATTGAGAAATATATGAATGTGAGAAAGGTTTATGTTTATTGAATAAAGTGAATAGGCTTGAATCTTGGAATGCTTTGTGCAAGTATGGAGTTGAAGGTTGGTTGCTGAATTCAGAAATAGTGAGAGATGATGGAAACATCCATGTGAATAAATTAAATACTAAGAGAATGGTTCAAAACTGAGAGCAGGGAATAAAGATGTGTGACGTACCCTTGGTTGTTTGCATATTTATGGATAAATGTGTAAGGAATACATATGGTGATGCTAAGCATTGGCTGGGGACATAAAAGTCAATGCACTTTTGTAACTCCTGCCCGATTTTAGTGTTAAAAGTGGGAATAGGAGTGAGAAGCCCCTGGGAGGCAAACCACTTCCACTCCTAACCCCACCAAACCCCCCTGAAAAAGGTGTGATATTGGCCTAAAATGGTAATTTTGCACTATTTTGGAGGGAGGGGGGAGTTAATTATGAGATTGTTTGCTTTTCTCTCACCTTGAAGTCCCTGACAATATATAAAAAATGCCCTCCCCCCCATGTCATCCCTACCCTTTCCAATTACAACACCATCAGGTAGCTCTTGTGATCCTCAGAAGGTCATGAGGCAGAGTTTAAAGTTCCCTGTCCTCCAAACAGTGCCTGGTCTACCTCTCCCATCTCCAAATTCTGGGTGAGAAAAGTCAGCCGGAAGGAATAGGTTATTCTCCAGGATCCTATCAAAAAACTTCACTGATTAGTTGCAAAGAATCAATGTCACTCACAATTTTAAAAAATTTAATGACTTGGACTATTGATATTACAATTCTTTCTATAAATTGTATCACTAGTCTCTAAAAACTAATATTTGAAATTATATCAGTATTTCCCTCATAAACAAAAGCTTATCCAATAAGCTGTACACATAGCAAATCCAACATGCCCAGACATACTCACTCATGCTATTTTTTCCCAATGACTTAAAGATTGCATATAATTACAAGGATTGCCAGTATGCAGCTGAAATATGCTTACATAGTTTGAATCTCAGAAATAAATAAATATATACAAGGGAAGTTAGACTTTGCTGATAAGAAAATCAAAGTTTTACATAGAAAGACAATATGATGAAAGAAGAGCACTGGAAAATATTCATCTGAAATAGATTTTTAAGGATTACTACATGGTAGTAAAGAGAAAGAATATTCTTAATTTAGTGAAAATACAGGCAAATTTCACATTAATCTGCTAGTCAGATGAAACTGTCTTAAGGAAAAACTAAAGTATAACAATCTTCTCTAATGAAAGTGAAGCCTTATTTATCGTTTTAATTTTATTTACTTCCAATTACCATATTCAGAAACACATTTTCCTTTCTCATTTTGAATATTTTTATCCAGAAGAAATGTCACACAAGCTACTTTCTGAAATCTATTAAGAGATATACATTTACTAATTTTTTAGAAAGCACATGTGAACAAAATATTCTCCCTAGTAAAGCTGTTTGATCCCATCAGACTCTGGTATAATTTGATGTCATAAGGAATCATTCACGCACATAAAGTTAAATCCATAACCTGCGATAAATAATTCCTTTTAGAGATTAAGAAAAAAAAGATTAAATAGTTTGAAGTCAAGCAGCTTTACAGGGCACCTTAATTTGACAATTCTGATGGTGAAAATTAATAAATGGTAGTTCTTAAACAGATACAATACAGCAGAAGAAAAACATTTGAAATGTATTTTGAAAGTAAGCATGTAGAGATCATTGCAATAGAAATACAGGGGTATTCTATGACCGCTTCTCAGTGAGTGATAAAATTTGCAGTTGTAGTTCTGTACAAATTTACCTTAAAGTAAGTCCCACTGTATTTAATGGGAGTTGCTTCTGAGAAGACACACTGAAGATTATACTATGAATTACTGGGAGACTAAATAACGTAGCACACAGTAAAGAGTTATTAAAGAATTGAGCAAGTGACAAAGATTGTTTTATATTTCGCATGTAATTTTTTGATATTTGGAGCATTTATTTTAACTAATTTCATCCAAAGAGAAATTGTGTGAAACAATGAACATAACATGCTTCCCCTTTAAGGATGAGGCATACTGACTTTAGTAAATCTAAGTACATGTGCTACAATCAGAGTATGTAATGACACAGTCTGTAATTCAAAACATTGTATGAAGGGAAGTAAAGATGACGGTATGACTACTATACTTACATGTGAGTATCTCAGTTATTTCAGCAGCGGCACGTATTTGAAATTATACAGATTTCTGGATAGGTAAGTTTCAATACTTATCTTGGAAAAGGTCTATCTGGGTGAAAAGATCTAAGAGCTGACATTGACTTGATGGGACACAATCAATACTTATATCAATCATTTTATGCATTGTTGTATATAATTGTACAGGTTAATAAACATGAGCTCCAATGTGCAGGCCAGTGAACATATGGATTTCCCATATAAATGGATATTTCCTCTTACATAATGAGGAGTCGTTTTTTAAATTTGCAAACATTCTAAATAAATATGTGCGTTGCTCTTAAGGCAGGAATCAACAGAAAACCTTCAAGTTCCAGCCTGGAGTTCCACATGTATAAGGATGTGAAAAATAAAACAAATTAGGAGGAACCCATGGAAATTTATGTATACTTGGGCTGACTCAGAATTTCTATTCTTTGATCATGATGAAGATGCATAAAAACAGTGACACATTCAACTGCTCAGTTTCTTTTGGTCTAGGACTAGGCAAACTTTCAAGTTACATAAAACACATCATTAAGCTCTTCTAAAGGCAAAGAAGCATACTTCAATACTTCTGCCATTAATACAATTATAAATATGGCCCAGAGTTTGCAAGCAAGAGTTAAGATCAAGAATAAGATAACCTCTGAAACACTTTTGGTTTCTGTAATTAGGCACAAACATGTATTAATTCACTAAAAATAGTTTTTCTTTGCCTTGTCTGTGGAGAAAAAAAATCTATAAAATCCTCCATGATACCGCTAGCGTTGCGCAAGCAGACTTCTGCTTGTGCCGCAAGCAGAATATTCTGTCATCCCTTTACACTCCCTAGTAGATTTGGTTATATGAAGAAAGGGGATCCATTCTACCTATGGACAGGCACAATTGAATAGCACTCCCTGTAAAAGGCTACACACCCACGCGCGCACACACACACACAAACATAACAGAGAGGAAAACTTCCAAGAATGTAGGTTTCCATACAACTTCTTAACAACATGCTTTTAAAATGTCTTTGGAAGTTACAAAGCTTTAGTCTTGGGCTTTACAATATTTTTAATTTTGCAAGATTACAAATGGGATTAATTAACATGTCACTGATAGAAACTTGAGAACTGTTGTGATGAGAGAGGTCAGCATCAATACTGGGTCAGTGGAGAGAATTAATTAGATGTTCTGTTTCTCCAACCATAGATAGCAAGGATGTCGCCGAACAACTAATGTAACTGGATAAAGCACAACACTTTGGTAGAGTTTATTTCTTCAGCCAGTCACCAAATCCAACATTTAGAATCGTCATTCTGTTTGTTGCTTTCTCTTCTTCCAGATGCCCAGACATTCAGAATTTTGTACTGTGGCTCAGGGAGTCTGACATGATCATATTTCTATAGAAATTGTCTGACTGGGTACTGTAGTAACCCTTCACTTTGTCAATGACTTGGTAAACTGGGATGATTGACGTCTGCTCCGTGTCCACTTGGGTGTATTTTGGTGAAGGCTTGTCAAGAAAAACATTGTCTGATTAAAAACAAGACAAAACAAAACAAAAAAAAGTGAAAAGTGAGTAATTTTGAAAATAGGATTTACTGCCAAGTGGACGACCTCAGGCAACCCCTAAGTAAATACTGTAAAGCATATAATTCCTTTTTACTTTTGTTCAAAACTCTGTGATTTTTTTTTTTTTAATAATCCATACCATGAGTGTGTAAGCTCTGTCGGCTTCTATGTTACAACAGGTTTTGCGTTGCACGTTACCGATCATACTTCAAAAGTTTTTCCTTTATTAATTTATTGTAAATTTTTAT